GCAACCAGAAATACCTATTAAAGCAATCCTATTAGTAAAAAAGTTGCTACTTTTAATATTCCCCAGAGACTGCAAATGTCGTGAATGTCATGGCCTGCAATATGGGTACTAGATACATTACAAGCAAAGGAAAAATGCCTAATGTCTCCTTTCTGCTTCTACAGGGAAATTGATTTAAAAAAGTAACAAAGGATCAATAGAACAAAGGATTGATATATCTTTGTATTCCACTGTCTTTGGAACACCATCACCTTACAGATCACTGTAGCCCACAAGAAAAACAGAACCCACTGTTGTATAAGCCAAGTATACACATACTTGCCTAGTATTGGCTACACCTGATGAGATGGCGGCGCCCACTCAGGCAGCAGCCCAGCGAGCTCTCTTAAACGGATCTTTAATATTGTTTTTTTTCTTTGTTCTTTCTTTGTTACTGTTCTTAGTCCTCAGTTTCTCTCTCCACAATGTTCACTTACATAACTTATGATCCACAAACACTTTTAGACATCGGAACAAGATCCGCAGGACTATCACTTAGTCTGGAAGATCTGGACTGCATCAGCTCGCACGGACTTCTCCGGCAAGGCCTGGAAACCACGATATCCCCTGAACAAGGTAACCAAGCCAGGAAGTGTCGCAAACGATGTGAACGAAAACGGAAACGCGGTAAGCGAGCTGGGCTCCAAACAAGACTAAAGACCGAACAGAACAAACATCCTTTACCAACCATTTTACTCGCCAATGTCCGATCCCTCGAGAACAAATTCGATGATCTCAGACTGAGACTCTCAACACAACGAAAAATTAAAGAATGCTGCGCTTTTATTATTTATTATTTTACTGAAACATGGCTAACGGACAGTATTACGGACTTGGCAATACACCTAGACGGATTTTCTGCCTTCCGCGTGGACAGAACTACAGAATCCGGTAAAACCAGGGGTGGGGGAGTGTGCATTTTTATTAACAACGCGTGGTGCAACAATGTATCTACCATCACGAAACACTGCTCACCTGCTCTGGAATTTTTAATGATCAAGTGCCGCCCCTTCTATCTGCCGAGGGAATTTACATCTGTTATTATCACCGCCGTCTACATCCCCCCTGACGCTAATGGCAAAGAAGCGCTAGAGGTACTGCACACTGCAATAAACAAACAGGAATCTGCACATCCCAAAGCAACCTTTATCATCGTGGGTGACTTCAATCAAACAAATCTCAAATCCGTTCTCCCAAAATACCATCAGCATGTCTCCTTCCCAGCAAGAGGAGAAAACACTCTGGACCATGTTTACACCAAGATTCAGAATGCTTACAAGGCAGTACCCCTCCCCCACTGTGGAAACTCAGACCACATCACTCTGTTTCTCCCCCGGCATACAGACAGCTGCACAGGCGCGTGAAACCAGCGCTCCGGACAGTGAAAGTGTGGCCTGAAGGAGCTGAATCGGTCCTGCAGGACTGTTTTGAATGCACTAACTGGAATGTGTTTAAAGAGGCAGCCACACAGGGATCATACACCGACATACGGGAATATGCATCGTCAGTCACTAGCTACATCAGGAAATACGTTGACGATGTCACTCTCGCAAAAGAAATAAGAACCTTTCCTAACCAGAAACCATGGATGAACAGTGAGGTTCACACCCTAATCAAAGCAAGGGATGCAGCATTCAAATCGGGCAATAAATCAGAACTAAGGTCAGCCAGGATCAATCTTAACAATGGTATTAAACATGCAAAAAACACGCTCAAACAGGAATTAGAGGAACACTTCACAACTAATGAACCAAGGAGCATGTGGCAAGGTATACAGGCCCTCAAAGACTACAAGAGGAAGAACATCTGTGCACCTGTCCATGATGCCTCCCTGCCTAAAGAGCTCAACACCTTCTATGCTCGGTTTGAAGCCAACAACACAAAACCAGTCATCAGAACTGCACCCTCCGCAGCTGACCAGCTGCTCTCACTGTCTGCAGATGAGGTGAGGAGATCTCTGCTAAAAGTGAACACACGCAAGGCTGCAGGACC